CACTCACCCCTCTCTCCCCACTCCTCTCACTCACCCCACTCTCCCCACTCCTCTCACTCACCCCTCTCTCCCCACTCCTCTCACTCACCCCACTCTCCCCGCTCCTCTCACTCAACCCACTCAACCCAGTTTCCCCAATCACCCCACTCTCCCCACTCCTCTCACTCACCCCTCTCTCCCCACTCCTCTCACTCACCCCACTCTCCCCGCTCCTCTCACTCACCCCACTCAATCCACTTTCCCCAATCACTTTCCCGCTTACTCTACTCACTCCACTCGCTCCACTCACTCCATTCATAACACTCACTCCGCTCACCCCTCTCACTACACTCACCCCACTCACCACGCGGCCAGCCGAGGTCCAGGAGAGGGTGTGGGGGTGGGGGGCACGGGGAGCGGAGCAGTACAGCCTGATGGTCTCCCCCACACGGTAAAGGGGGGCGACCCCCACAATCTGGGGGGTCAGTGCCCCAGGATCTGGGGGGGAGGGGGAAGAGATTACGCGGCGCTGTTGATAGAAATTTATACGTGGGGCGAAGGGGGAGGGAATGAGAGTATACAGGGCACATTAAGGGGGTATACTGGCACATTAAGGGGATATAATAGGCACATTAAGGGGGTATAATGGGCACATTAAGGGGGTATAATAGGCACGTTAAGGGGTATACTGGGCACGTTAAAGGGCATAATAGGCACGTTAAGGGGGCATAATAGGCACATTAATGGAGGGTATTTTGGACACATTTGAGGGGGGCATATTAGATACAATAAGCCACTCACCAATGACAGTCATGTTGGCCGTGCGATGGTCGGTGGCGAAGGACGGTCCATCAGCGACGGCCTCGCAGCGGTAGTGGCCGCTGGACGCCAGCGTCACGTCCTCCAGCTCGACGGTCGTCAGCGCCGACCTGCCGGCCTGGCGGACAGTGAGGGAATGTGATGAACAGTGATGGACAGTGATGGACAAGGATGGACAGTGATGGACAGTGATGGACAGTGATGGACAGTGATGGACAGTGATGGACAGTGATGGACACTGATGGACAGTGATGGACACTGATGGACAGTGATGGACAGTGATGGAATGTGATGAACAGTAAAACACGTTGATGGACAGTGAAGGAATGTGATGAACAGTAAGAGACATTGGAGGACAGTGATGACCAGTGATGGAATGTGATGAACAGTAAAACACGTTGATGGACAGTGAAGGAATGTTATGAACAGTAAGGGACATTGATGGACAGTGAAGGAATGTTATGAACAGTAAGGGACATTGATGATCAATGAAGGAATGTTATGAACAGTAAGGGACATTGATGATCAGTGAAGGAATGTGATGAACAGTGAAGGACATTGATGGACAGTGAGGGAATAGGATCCAGTGCAATGCCAGAGCAACGTAAGGGCAGAGACAGGACAGTAATACGGCCGATTAACTCAATATAATCATCAACGAAATTTGGATGCGGGCCAGACCCTGCATTAGGTGCCGCTTAGGACTCGGGAGCCCGTAAATCAGTCGCTCATGAGCCTTCAGCAGGGCTTGAAATGCAGATCGGGTGACGAAGCAGACCCAGAATAACCCTGAGCAGAGTATAGCGACTCCTAGGCATAAGCCTAAGTCGGTAACCGAATTTTGTTCTGGAACAGCCTGAAAATTATTTGTTATGCGACGCCAAAGCTCATTTGGCCGCTACTCCCCTGATGGCTTTTTGAAGAGACAAGTGAGAGGCAGGCGAGCTCTCTGGGGGTGAGGATTGGATGATGGATGAGGGCAGCGGAGTGTTTGGGGAGGATACTAAAGAGTGGGGAAGAGGGTGAACGGAAGTGGGGAGGCGGAAAACGTGATAAGTGGAGTAATAAGTGATAGAAAGAAAATTAACGAGAGAACGAAGACCCGCATAAGATCGTGCCAGGCACGGTAAAGACCACGACACTCACATTGACCGTGATGCCTGGCACGGTAAAGACCACGACACTCACATTGACCGTGATGCCAGGCACGGTACAGACACTCACATTGACCGAGATGCCAGGCACGGTAAAGGCCACGACAGGCCGTGGCTTGGAGGGAGTGTACTGGTAGAACTGTCTGCCGTCCTTCCACCACGTGACGGAGTAGAGTGAGTCGCCCTCGAGGCCCACGTGGCACGCGAGTGTGGCGCGCTGCCCCACTACGAGGTACCGGGGCACCGTCAGCCCACCCACGTGTAGACCTGTCGGACGAGTGGGACACCTGACGTGGTGGATGGTGGGTCAGGTGGGTTGCACGACATGGTGGGTCAAAGTGGGTTATATTATTCCAAATATCTGAATCGTAACCTGTTCCAACAACTAAGGACCACTCCGACGAGAGCACTTGTCTATTAATTTTACCCTCGCGTTTCCCTCTCCTCCTCAGTCCTACAAACCAAACTTCCCCATCCCCACACCTAGGCCCCGGGAGGCTACTTCCCAAACTTCGAACCTCGTAAACTTAGCCAAAGTTTGCCGCAAGTTTGGCGGCGAACAAAGAGTGGCTGAAGTTCCGAACCAACGCCTCAAGTTTGGGTTGAGATCTTTAGTTGAGTAGTGGTGGTAGGAATAGCGATGAAGTTTTCTACTGAACTTAGTTCGGAAATAATAGCGTTACAGTGCAGGCTGCATTGTCATCTCAAATCCCGTTATCCTGAACCCTGGAATCATGAATTTGGTTATCTGGATTCCCGTTATTCCGAACCCTCGCATCATGAATCTCGTCCTCCTGAATCGCGTGGTCCCGAATCCCGGCATCCCGAGTCTAATTATCTATCTACTCACCCTGGGCAGCGGCGGGGCACAGCAGCAGGGCCAGGGCCCCGGCAGTTGCGAACCTCAGCGTGCAGGACGGGAACCCGGGACATCTTACGGGGTCAGCGGTCCCGGGACATCTGGAGGGGCAGGAAGGAAGGGGTCGCCTGGAGAGGACCGGGGTGACGGGTCGTTCAAACATTAAACTGGCCCACCGCGTCCATGGTCGTTGGTTTAATTGAAAAACAATACGGCGCAGTCCACAATAAATAATTTTCATTACCAATACTAAGTCCATTAACAAAACCCTGGAGTCCCCACACCGGGAGCTGTCGCCCCCCGCCTCCTGTTGAGACATGGCACCGCCGCCCCCGTCAGGACGCTGGCGCCCCATCGTTCCGTGGTCGGGGGGCCGTTTCAGGAAAGACGCTACATCTTCCCGCACGCCACGCGGCGGACGATGAGTCAATGAATAACTGTGTGATGAATGTGGCGGCATGGCGGTAGTTGCCATTTCTAATAGTGTTTGTTGTGACGACGAGGACTGATAGTGTAGAATTATTAATGATAGTGAGGAGGAAAATTGGGAGGGAGTGAGGGAAGGAAACGAAGTGAGGAAGAGAGGAGGAGTGAAGGAGAGTGCCAAATACTCATCAGTTCAGAAGAAGGAGTAAAGCTTGAGGTCAGTGGGTTCGATTAAAATTGTGTTAATTAGAAGAAAGCGAGCGTAGTTCTCCAGAGGCATGTTTCGCCTTAGGCAGAAGCGTTGTTACCATCAGCACTGGTTCAGTGCCCACACTCGTGAACCACCAACACTGGTTCAGTGGCCACACTCGTGAACCACCAACACTGGTTCAGTGCCCCCACTCGTGAACCACCAACACTGGTTCGTCTTCAACACAAGCTTGCATTAGGTAACGCTTATCATGTTACAGATGGACGCTGATCTGCCTTCCCATACAAAAATATAGGATAACGTAATGAGTATTGTTAATTAATATATAAATTACATGATACTTTTTTTAGAATAATAAAAAAGTAGTAGTAGTAATAAGTATGAATATTTCGAATGTTCAGCCTCTGCTAAACATAACGGGTCCTCCCATGCCCTCAATGCCCTCACATGCCCTCACATGCCCTCACATGCCCTCACATGCCCTCACATGCCCTCACAT